TCCACAAGTCACAAATGCCACTATTCCACATGCAATCCAGATGTACAATTGCTTCCATGCCCTCCTCCTTTTTCCTTTCCTCCTTTTCTACTTCCTATTTGTTTGACTAATGTATAAACTGTCTGAGGCAGGGAGCATCTTGCACAGTCTTCAAAGCAGGTATGGCATTTTTATTAGCATGTATGGGGTTGTAGAGACTCACAGCTACCATACAGATAATCCTACCACCTGACCACTGCTCACAGCTGGGTACCACAACAACCAGAGAGCAAAACGGTTCTGAGATGTGCTTGTTTACATTTAGTTTATGTACCTCAGCCTGCAGGTGAAATGGAGCAAGCACCAGGACTTCCATCTATTAAAGGCAGTTGAGACAATGTGGAAAACACACAGTTCAACACAATCCTGTGTTTTGTTACATTCTCATTTCTAGAGCAGGAACAGCCAAGCCTTAGCCTCAGTGTGGCTGAAGGGGATTTGGAATGGCTCTACCAACAGCGAATTACATGGCCTTTAAAGTAGATCTGGTGCTCTCAACACCTTGAAAAGAAGAGAATTCAAAAGAGGCATAACATCTGTAATTGTAGACAAACTCCTCACCTCCTCCTCCTGCAGAAATATTGAGAAGTACTTTAGTGGATGCCTTCCAGAAGGACACATCCATCTGCATCCCTTGGACATTAAGCACAAGGCAACCCATGACACCTGTGACCTACAGTCACAGATCAGCATCTCACTATCTCTGACCTTCAACAAATGCAAACTGCAATTTGTACTTTATACAGAATACACCATATCAAACCACAAGTCATCATATTCCATCCATGCTCTCCACAGGGTGAAAAAGGCATAATGACTCCATGAATCACAAGATGCAGGTTGTGCACAGGTTGCTTGGTCAACTGCAGTCCTCACTAAGAGTCACTGAACATACACATCAAGGTGGGAGAAGTTACAGGTGTCTGCACTGCTGGACTCAAGACCACCATTGGAGATGTGAACAGTACATACTGTAGCATAGACATGAAACAGAGCAAAGAGATGAAAAAGAGGGAGCCAACTTCATTAAAACCCTTCCCAGGCATGACAAAAGTAGTAACCGGGTGGTCAGAGCCTACGAAGACAAGGCCTGGTCCCCCCTATCCCAGCTGTAACACGCTCCCTCTTCCTTACCGCTGCCGTCAGGTTTGCACCGAAGCTCCTTCTCCACTGTTCCTGCCACGGGAAGGCCAGCTGACCTGTGCTGGGCAGCACCACACAAGTCCTACTTTCCTGCTGACCCACGTCTTCTGTCCCATTGCCACCATCCAGCTCACTCTAAACCTCCTTCAGCCCTGTCCCCTCACAGGTCACCTTGCTCCCTGTCACACCTCCGAAAGACACCTGCACCTCCACCCGCAGGCCCCTGCGCACCTGCCAGCTGCAGCCTCCTGCCCTCACTCCAGCCACCTTTCCCTTCGTGTCCAGTCAAACACCCTTCTCCTTCGTCCTGCAGCCACTCTGCCGCACAAAGCCCCTGCAAGCAGCACTGCCACCGGTGTCTGGATCCCTACACCACCTCTCTATCCCCACGGCACACAGGAACCCCCAAAGCCAGGGCTCTACATCTCCTCCAGCTTCACTCCAGTCACGGGGCTCCCCAAACCTTAGGCGGGCCCCCAAGAGCCTCTTCCCCCTGGCACCTCATGCACCCGGCCAGCCCCGCCGGAGCCTCTGCCCCAAGGGCCGGCGCAGCCCCCGCACTCACAGCCGCCCCTTTTCCCGGGGACGCAGCCCCCCGGCACGGCACGGCACGACCCCAGACCCCCCGAGCGGCTCCCCCCTACCTGGGCGGGCTCCGCGCCGGCGGGCAGCCCCTCGGGCAGGGCCTGGAGCAGCAGCAGGGCCATGGCGGCGCGGAGCCTCCTCGCCATGCCCCCCACCCCCCGCTCCCGCCTCCCCGGCCCGACTGCGGCCCGGGACGGGAGCCCAGGGGCACCCCGCGCCCGGACCCGCCCTCGGCACTCCTCTATTGGGCGGCCGGCGCAGCTTTCCGCTTGCCATTGATTCAGCGCGATGTCGCTTATGGCAGAACCGGGAGGGGCGGGGTCTGCGCGCAGGGCGCTGCCATCTTGAGTGTGGCACAGCGAGGAGGGAGCCTGAGGGCGTACTCGGTGCGCCATGTTGCGAGTGGCGGAACCGGCTGGAGAGGGTGCGGGGGCTGCGCGCACACACACACTGACACACAGACAGACACACACAGACAGACGCACAGCATCTCTGTGGCCGCCAGGCACTCATCCCCTATTCAGCTGGTCACTCCTGCTCAGCATGAGCCCTGCTCAGGCTCCTCCCCAGTGCGCTCACATTGCCCCAAACCCCAGCAGCCCGGCCGGACCTGGGGCACACCGGGGCATGGAGCGGGGGCTGGCATGGCAGCAGCGGCATGGCACTGGGCTCAGGGCCTCCAGAGGGTAGCAGTCTCTTGGTGCCAGCACCACTGGCAGACATAAGCAACATGGAGAAGAGGATCTTCTCCAGCGGCTGTGTCCCAGCATGTCCCCACACAGTGATTGTCCACACTCCCAGCCGGAGTGGGGGCATCTTGAGCACTTGGCATTGATTCCCAGCTCGGCAGAGACAGCCCATGCTCCAGGGGCAGTGTCAGAGGGTTTCTGCACTGCCACTCCCAGTGTACCAGACAGCCTCCATGCCGGATTGGCATGATAAGGTTCATCAGATGCCCAGATAACACGTTAAGAAAGGCCGGAAAAAAATAATTGATTTAGCAACTTCTCTCCTGCCCTGGCTTTTTTCTAACCAGATCAGCTCTCTTGCCTGCTGCTAGCTGTCACACCTTCACCATGCTCGCTCCTCTTCCTGTGGCACCAGATCCCGGCCTCCAGCAGCCCTTGGGACCGAAGACAGTCCCTTCCTGCTGGGACTGCCAGTGCTTGAGGGAGCCCAACAGCCTCCCAGCCCCTGCTTGGGCTCTGCTGCACACCAACGTGACATCTTTGGTGTGGTTACCATTTGAAGTGAGGTCGTAAACATGCTGGAACACTGACATTTCCGCCTCACACAGTTATTGAAGGAGCTTTATTCCTGTTCCCAGCTAGCCCTGAAATTAGAGGCACAGCAGGGGGAAGGCATGGAGATCAGGGAGCACAGGACAAGCCCAGATCAGGTGTGACTCATTGTTGGAGAGCAATTAACACTTGCTGCTCTTCCCAAGCAGGGATTCGTCTGGCTCTGACTCTTTGCAATGAGGTTTCCTTCCTGCTGCAATGGGAAATGGAGGCCAGACTGGCCACAGCTTGACAGCAACTCCTCTGCTCCCCAGTGAGACCAAGCAGGCTGCAGACTTAACTGTGGTTTTGGGGAGGGCTGGCAGGCTCTGGCTGCAGTGACCATGTCCAGAGTGATGTGAGCTGTTGAGATTACTTGAATCCTCGGGGGGAGATTCCAGCTACAACCTAGAAACCTAGAAACCCTGCTGAGCTGAACTGTCAGCTGGCATAAATCCATGTTGATCTGAAGAGAGAATCCACTGCTATAAGCTCAGGGAGGCGGGGGGAAGCTCTGTCTTGAGCATGGCTTGCCAATTCTATAAGCCCAGAGCAAACCTCTTACTCTGTCCATAAGCAATAAACTGCACCATGTCCCACTCCCCAGGGCAGGGGAAGAGCTGATGCAAGATGGCAATAGCACTTCAGGGGGTCTCTGTGCTCCATTGCCCCTCAGGGCAGGAAAAAAGGAGCAGCCAAACAGCTGAGGCTTTGCTGTCATGGTCCCAAACTTGGCTTCATGTGGCTGCTACCCCAGAATCACTGCCCAAAGAACTCCCTGACCTGCCAGGACCCCTCCAAACTGCCAAGGCAGGAGGGGTGAACAGCAAGAATAGGGAAAAGGCAGTTTTTGGGTGCTACAGCACATCATTTTGCAAACATTGCCATGCTCCCAAGCATGCCAGAGGCACCTTGGACCCAAAAGACTGCTACAGGTACTTTTCTGAAAGCCCTTACGGCTGTTTTGGGTGTAGGACAAGAGCAGTGTGAGCTAAGGAGCTTAAGAAAAGCAGAGGGCAGTCTCCTTGGGGCTCCTCTCCACTCCCAGCAGGAGTGACATCTGTTTTATTTCATGTGCTTATCTATTACTTTAATTGTGCTTTAACAAGGGATCTAATAATGCCCAGGGAACAGATATACAAGTTTTCCTACTTTCTGTTCTGCTGTTAATTATTTCAGAGCTCTTTTACAGCTTTCTAGGAGTAGCTACATGTGGTTGGAGACGTTATCCTTTGCCTGTTGCAGCTTTGGCAGGAGCAAACCTGCTGTGGATACAGCTTGGCACTTCAAGAAGTACCTTTTGGGTTTGGCTGCTCTCTCTGAAGGAGCAGAATGGGTAATGTATCTCTACTCAGGCACGTGGCTGATGTGAGAATGCTACTGCCCTAAAGACCTGACACATATCCCTGACTGGAGGGAGGAGCATGGATCATCTACTGGGCCATGGGACTCTCGGGGCAGCCACGATTGAAAGCAGGGGCTTTAGTCCAGGACTTGGGCTCCTTTCTCCCCCAGACTAGGCTGCAGCACACTCAAGCTGCTCTCCTTTGGCGTGGGAGAGACCTCATGGCAGACCCAAGATAGCACCATGAAACTCTGCCTGGCCATGAAGATAAACAGCACCCATGGCTGTAGGGTCACCCAATGTTATCCTCCCAGGCCCCAGAAGAGGATGACTGTCACTGTGAGTAGAGCACAATCACCTTTGTCACTTGCCATGGGACTTTGCAGCCCCAAGAACCCCTTGGAGAAGGCTGCCATTGAATGCCCAAGGGTTTCAGAGCTCATGCCATGCCTTACACTCTTCCTCCTTCTCCTGGCCCCTTTGCTCACCTTCACCCTGATGCTTGCTTAGTCACAAAGCCCACACTTTTCCCTTCCAAGGCAAGCATGAGACCCATATACCAGCCCAGCCCAGAGAACCATTGATCAGCCAGAAGCATAACCCACAGCTGGTTTTTAAAAATCACATTTATTTTTCAACCTTCCTCTGCTGTTTGCAATGCAGCAGCAGTGACTGAATCCAGAGCCTGAGTGAATGCCTTGACAGCTCTGTGACAAGAAAGAGAGAAGCCACTGGAGAGTGTTCAGTGGAGGGCCACAAAGATGATGAGGGATTTGAAGCATCTCTTATGAGGAGAGAATGTGAGAGCCAGGTCTGTTCAGTCTGGAAAAAGAGAAGACTGAGAGGGATCTCATCAATGCATATAAATGTCTCAAAGGCAGGTGCAAAGGGCATGGTGCCAGGCTTTTTTCAGTGGTGCCCAGCAACAGGACAAGGAACAAGGGCCATAAACTAAACTACAAGAAGTTCCACCTCAACATGAGGAAAAAATTCTTTACATTGAGGATGGCAAAGCACTGGAACAGGCTGCCCAGGAAGGTTGTAGAGTCTTCCTCTCTGGAAATACTCAAAACTCACCTGGATATATTCCTGCGAAACCTGCTCTAGTGACCCTGCCTCAGCAGGGGAGCTGGAATAGATGACCTCCAGAGGTCCTTCCAACCCTAACAATTCTATGATTTCTGTGTCTTCTTCCCCATGTCAAAGGGGGCAAGAGACAATTGTTCTCTAAAGTTGCAGTTTCATGGTTTCACTGTGGGGACCAGAGATGTAGGACAAGGGTGACAGAGCTCAGAGGAATGAAAAAAATCAGAGCTAAAAACAATTAGATATTTCTTTCCTGACTTGTGGCAAACACAGAGTGAATAGAACCTGAACCTGAGAGCAAGGAATGCATAGTCCAAGCATTGGTCTCTGGACTTTGGGATGGTGACTCTCATAGTGCAGAGAGAACAGGTCCCTTCACACCTGCCAAGACATGATCCATCTCTTGGGAAGAGGCTACTGTGGTGGTTTAAGGCAGGAATGTGGTTTGGTTGCTGGTACAATGGCAGGATATCTGCTTTTAGAGGTAGAAATGTGCTCTGAGCCCCAAGGGAGAGAGCCTCATGGGGCCAGACCCAGTGAGGCCCAGACAGGCTGGGCCAAAGGAAGGCACAGGAAGTGCAGGCATCCCTCATGGCAAGAGGGACATGGGAAGGCTGAGACATCATGGACCCATGTCCATGCCATGCAGCAGATGGGCATGGGACACTACAAGCCAAAATGCTGCAAGCTGGACACACAGAGTCAGATCCTGATTCTACAGTGGAAGAAGGCTGCAGAGAAGGTGCTGGGTGGGGGTGCAGATCTGGGCTGGACTGTGCCTCTGACCCTGCTCAGGAGATGTGGGAATGGTGGTGGCAGGAGGCCAGAGGGGTGTAATGGCTCCTGAGGTAGTCTCCATTCACAGTCCTTTGTTAAAATAGACATATGGCACTTGGTCCCCGTGCTTGGCCATGATACTGTCACGCAGCTCCACCTCAAGGTCAGCCAGTGCAAGGGAGCTGTGGAGAGGGAGATTCACACTGAGAGCCATGATCCTCCTCCCCAAACACCAATCAAACCACCCTCCCTTCCCATTGCCATTTGAGGCCTCTGCAGTCCCTGGGATCTTGCAGGCTCATGGCAAGACCCGCCACCCCTCCCTACCAGTGTTGGAAGGCAGAGAGCTGCCCATGGAGCTGGGTGTCCTGTTGGTCCCAGCACAGAGCTCACAGAGCAGGGGAGGCACATGCTCTCCTGCTGCCCTGGGCACTAGTGTGTGCTGGCAGGCACTGCCTTGGGTTGGAGGGTGGGTGCCCATCATGCTTCTCCTGGGATGGGCAGAGAAGTCCTAGGCAAGGAGGAAGGCTCCCAAGATCCCATGCAGGAGGGGGAAGCAGTGGAAGAGGTACCATCGCTGGGGGAAGAGAGCACAGGCTGCTGGCACCATGAACAGGAGGCTGTGGGACAGAGAAGAGCAGAGCATTAGTCTTCATTAGTCTTGGGGATCCCAGCCTGTTTGCCCTCATAGGGATTTCAGCCCAAGAAGTGCTGCTCACACCCCATAACTCCCAATAACTGGGGAAAGCCCAAGCTGAAAGGTAAGCAGCTTTGCAATTTCTTCAGGGAAAGAAGCATTTTTTCAAGCATCTCTTTGGAGCCATATTCCAGGCACTCACAGGTGATTGAGCAGTGAGATACTTACAAGCCCCCGCAGAGCAGCACCTGCAGAGGAGCGTGGAGAACCCGGATCCGCTGCAAGAGAAGAGCCAGGACTGAGTCCCTGGCCTCACCACAAGACCCACTCATAGGGTGAGCAGACTTCTCCCCTCAGTAGGACTGAATGCCCAAAACCCCTGGGGTGCACCAAACCCTGCCACCCTCCGACAGCCTCCCCATGTCACTTGAGAGGCCACTAGTGTATCAATGACTGAAGTAGGGAGCAAAGCAAGCCAGGCTCTACAAATCCCCATTTGATCCCCAGCATATCAGCAGCAGATATGGGCTGGAGCATCACAGAACCCACTGTCAGTAGAAACATGTGCTCACCTGCATGAAGGTGAATTTCTCCAGCCGCTCCATGATGATGGGCAAAATAACTAGGCACAGAGAGCAAAGGTCAGCCCAGATCCCAGAACAGCTATCCTGCTAGCCAGCCTGGAGGGCTGTCCCAGCAGGACCATCCACCTGCAGGCCATGGAAGCAGCTAGTTATGCTGGGGGCTACCGGGCGTTTGCTGACAGCAAGAACCTGACACGAGGCCCCCACACATCCATCATTGGGGCAGCATGGTCTGTGCTCCTCATGCTCCTGCCCTTCCTTCTGGGCTTGCAGCATGTCAAGGGTCTCAGAAGCAGAAGGGGTGCCAGGCTGCAGGGTGAGGGGCTAGGGCCAGAGAGCACAAGAGATGCATCCTTATGGGGCCAAACTGCCCCCTGTTTTCCCGGCTGTGGTTTGGCATGGAGGGGGCTGGAGGACCTCTGATGGGAATGGCTGGATGAGGAGAGCAAATGCCATCAGGGATGCAGGGCCACTCTCCCTCTTTTTCATGAGGGAAACTGAAGCAGGGGAGGGCACAGTGGTGGGTCCTGGAGAGTCCTCAGTTCAGCTGCACACCCCCGTGCCCCGCACTCACTCATGCCTGGTGCTGCCATGGTGATCCTGGAGAGCACAACCTGCGCGATGCCCTTCACTGCTGCCCTCTGCAAGCAAAACCAGCAGGTGAGCCCCGGCAGTGCCCTGCCCCAACCCGCATCCCCATCCCCAGACTCACCCTGGAGTGGCCGAGCTCGTTGTTGTTCTCATCTGTCACTGTGATCCCATTGATGATCTCCCTGAAGGAGACAGGCAGTTGTGAGTGGAGGATGGGATGGCCAGGAAAGCATAAGGACACAGCAACGGGGTGAGGGGGTGCCAGGGGAGTCCTCTATACACAGCAGCCCCTGATGCCCCCAGGGCACCATGGTCCCCAGCCCAGCCGATGCTGCCATCTTCAGGGCACAGCTGCGAGCAGGATCTGGCTGTGTAGGGACAGACACTGCCTGGATACACAGGTGAGCCAGGGCATAGTCCCTCACACAGTACCCGAGCTCCTTGTGCCCTGACTTGTGGGGGATCCCTGAGCAGCAGACACAGGTCACCACAAGGACCCCAACTGGGGTGTCCCAGCATCAGGATATCATGGACTAGGGTTCTCCCATGCCATGCAGGAGATCTTTGGGTTTGAGGGATTCCAGCACAGATTCCAGAGCAGCTATCCTCAGCCAAAAATCCCCCTCCTGCTCTAGGTGGAGGCTGAGCCATCCCACCCAACACCCTCCATCACAGACACTGCAAATGCACAGACCCCAGTTCACCCCTCTCCAGCTCCCAGGAGGGGAATCCAAGGCAGGGAGGCCAGGCAGCCCAGGAGCCTGGCTGCCACCAGCTTGCCTTTGGAGGGAGCTGGGTCCCTCAAGCGCCCCAGCCATGTGTGACACTTACTGTTGCCGCATCATGGGGATATTGACACAGTTGGCAGCGGCCACAGCTGCAAAGGGGACCCAACGGGCCAGCAAGGGGGGGGCTCGCTGTGGGAAACAAGCTGGCATCAGCATGGGAGAGCAGGATGTGCCCAGCTGCCCCACCTGGCCCTAGCCTGGCATACCTTGGTGTAGAGGTTGAGTCCCACTGCGGTGGCCAGGGCTGCACTGGTGGCCGTGACATAAGCCACCCCGATTTGCCTGGACAGTGATTTCAAAGAAGGGAGACAACAGAATCACCAACTCTGACTCAGCCCTGTTCCTTCTGTGCCCAAGACATGGCACAGAGGGTCTTTACAGGGCATCCAGGGGTGCATCAAATGGACACACTCCATCCTGTGGGGCTCGCTCACCTCAGAGAGATGGGGGAGGCAGCGTTGCGGTTGGTGTAGTTGACAAAGGCATTGAAGGACTGGTTCACCCACTGCCAGAAGACCACTGCAGGCACTGTCCTGTGGAGGGAAGGGATGGGAGAGCACCCAAGGGCTGTCAGGGACACATGGCCTGTGCCCGTGGCCAGGCTTGGCAGGGAGACAGCCAAGATGCCTGCAATCCACTCATCATGGTGTCTCCAAAGGGAAACTGAGGAACTGTGGCAAAGTGACAAGCCAGTGGCAGACCTGGGAAATGATCCCAGGAGTTCTGGTTGCCCTGGGGAGCACAGGAAGGAGGGGCCCAGTCGTGCAAGGCACTTGGGCAGGGATGGGAGACACAGCTCTCAGCAGGGTGGCAGCCATCCTCTGCTGGGCTAAGTTCTCAGCAGGTTGGCAGCCATCCTCTGCTGGGCTGAGATAAGCCTTTGTCAAAGCAAGGAGGGGACACATGGGGACAGAAGTGGCTCTGGGGAATGAGGGTGCCTGGGTTTCTACTGGTGTCTCAGAGACACTGACGTGGGGCAGGAAGGGACACAGGGAGCACGCTTTGGAATGCAGGGGGGTGGAGAAGGGAAAGGCAGGGAGCTGTGAGAAGGGGCTGGGGATGCTGAAGCAGCCTGGCCTAGGGGCACATTTGGTCCTCATTTCCAAAGACTGCTATGGGCTACAGACCAAGAGCAGCAGCCAAGCAGGATGTGGTTGCATTAATCATTACAGGAGCTATGGGAAAATCTCAGCTGAGCTCAGGGTGAGGTGAAACCATTCCCAGCCATGCCAGGGGGATATGTGATGCTTCCACCAGGTTGGTGCTGGGGACAGAGCCCAGAGACATTGGGCTTGACCACAGGACACAGGCAAGCACAGCAGCCAAGGGCAAGCCCTGGGCAGCACCCAGCCCCAGAGGAGGCAGGCTGGCCATGCTCTGGGCATTGGGGACTTCGAGAGGGGCTGGGGGCTGTCAGGGCTGTGTCCCCAGCCTGGTGTACCCAGAAGCTCACCGATAGAACTGGAGCATGCAGCCAGTGATGGCCATGCCCCCCGGCACCTGGAAGGACATCCTGCCAATGAGGTTCATCTTCTCACCGCTGTCAGGGTGGAAGGCTGAGTCGTACAGCTTCTTGGCATAGAGCAGCTGCTCCTGGCTGCTTCCTGGCGGCACCAGCCCGGCCCTGCAAACCCAAAACCCATCAGGGGAAGCTGCACAGACCCGCCAGCACCCAGCACTGCTGAGGCACAGAGCTCTGGGCACCACATGAAAGGCAGAGGAAACATCTCCTGAGAAGAATGCATGTCACAGCTTGAAGCTCCTGGGAGAAGCCTGGGAAACCCCCCAAAACTACCTCCAACAGATGTTACACCACAGCATACCTGCTTGAGAATGACTGCCTCCATCCCCTTCAACACTGCACAGTGGTTGGGATAGCCGTGAACACAGGGATGGCACCTGCCCCATTCATACCCCTGCCCCTCACCTGCAGCTCTCCACCAGGGCCTTGGCCTGGTCCAGCTCCTCCTCCGGCACCAGCACTGTCCGAGGGTCGGTGATGTTGAGGAAGTGCTTCAGGCGCCCCACAAAGGTGCTCTGGTCCCAGCGTGGGGAGTCGATGTTGAAGCTAAGGGTACCTGTGGCCATCTTGGCGTAGGTCTGGGCAGAGGAAAAGGCTGCTCAGTAGGATCCTGCCTTGCTTGCTCATTGAGTGCACGCCTGCCACGGCCACAGGAGCAGTCAGCTGGGTGAGAGCCATGGCAGGTTTATATTTAACAGGAAAACTGGACTTTCAGCAGCCCTGAGCCCAGGAGGCCCCTGCACTCCTGCTGTCAGCAGAACACTGCAGTCAGGCCGCTCCTTCACACATCACCCTGCTTGCCTGGGGTTGCCCCACTTGTGCTGCACCCCACACCCTCTCCTCGGGGTGGTGTAGTGCTGCACAGCACTGTAGGGCCCAGCTCAACCCTCCACAAGGCTGCCCTGCAGGCACTCCTACAGGGGCACTACTCTGCAGCCCCCAAGTATGCAGAGCACAGCATCCCCACATTGTGCTGTGCCCCCCACAGCACCATCCTGCACATCCTTCTAATGCTGCTCTGCACTGCCATGGCATTGCCCTGTGTGCTCCCCGGGGTGCTGCACCACATGCCCACGATTCACAGCACAGAATCACAGAATGAATTAGGCAGGAAAATACTTCTGAGACCAACCTATGACCAAACACCACCACGTCAACTTCAGCATGGCTAACCTAGTGCCTAACCCTAGCCAAGTACCATGTTCAGCCTTTCCTTAAACACCTCCAAGGGACTGTGACTCCAACACCTCCCTCGGCAGTCTTTTCCAGTATCTAACCACCCTTCTGTAAAGAAACACTTACTAATGTCCAACCTGAACCTCCTCTGGCACAGCTTCAGACTATATCCTCTCGTCCTGTTGCTGACTGCCTGGGAGAAGGGGCCCACTCCCTCATTTCAAAGGTGGTTGTAGACAGCGATAAGGTCTCCCTGAGCCTTTTCTCCAGGTTAAACGCTCCCATAACGCTCAGCCACTCCTCATAAGACTTGAGCTCCAGACCCTTCACCAATTTCCTTGCCCATCTATGTAAGGCACAGCACAGCTCGGCACACCCCCGGCTCGGCTCGGCTCGGCCCGGCATGGCACAGCCCCGGCACACCTCCAGCACGGCTCGGTCACGGCTTATGTCGGGTCGGGTCGGGTCGGCTCGGCTCGGCTCGGCTCGGCTCGGCTCAGCTTGGCTCGGCTCGGCACGCCCCAGCCCAACCCCGTCGCGTCCCCACGTGTCCCACCTGCGCTCCCGGGCCCCGCTCCCGCCCCGCGCCGCTCATCGCCCCCGCGCTCCGACGCGTGGCCGCCCTCAGCCAATCACAGAGCCCCGAGCGGCCGCGCCCACCCCCGCGGCAGGCCTGCCCCAGTACCCATGCGCTGTTCGTTCGTGGGCGGGCCCATCGCTGGCCCCTCCCCCGGCGCGGGCACGTCGGCGCGCGGGTGGGTGTGACGCAGTTGCCCATGGTAACCCCGGGCCGCGCCGAGGATGGTGAGCGGGGCGGGGGCAGCGGGGCCGGGCCCGGGGCCGCCGGGGCGGGCTGAGGGCTGAGGGACGGGACCAGCGCGGACGGGGCCGCCTGAGGCCGCGGATGATCCCCCCGCGGAGCGTGGGGTGGTGGGGGCCGGAGGGTCTGTCGGGCCCGGCCGGGCTCGTGGCAGGCACGGGCAGGCCTTGGGCCATGAGAGGGGGGGGCCGAGGCGATGGAACCACGGGGAGCGAGCCAGGCTCTGCTTGGTGCTGTCGGGCAGTAGGGTAACAGGCAACGGCAGAAACTGATGCGCAGGAAATTCCACCCGAATACGAGAAAGAACTTTGCCGGGCGGCTAACCACACACTGGAAGAGTGTGCTCAGAGTTTGTGGAGTCTCCCTCAGTGGAGATATTCCAGAACCATCTGGACACGATCCGGTGCCATGTGCTCAAGGATGACCCTGCCTGGGCGGGAGCTTGGAGCAGATGATGGATTGTGGTCCCTTGCAGCCTGACCCATCCTGTGACTGTGTGACACCGGCCTGGGGTCTGAGTGCCCACCTGGGGTGTCCAGTCAGGTATGGGGTCCTGGGGCTGCGCAGGTTCAGGCACCCATACAAAGGAATGAGGACAGAGCAAGTTTGGGGCATCCAGCCATGAAAGATCCTGGCTGGGGTTGAGGCCCTGGACATTGGGAAGAATTTCTTCACAGAAAGAGTGATTGGACATTGTGAAGGACTGGCCAGGGAGGTGGTATAGTCACCATCCCTGGAGGTGTTTAGGGAAAGATTGGAGAGATTGTACATGGCACTTGGTGCCACGCTCTAGTAAGTGTTTGGTCATAGGTTGGACTTGATCTCAGAGGTCTTTTCCAGTCTAATTGATTATGTGATTCTGTGAATCAGGTCTAGACAGTGGCTGGGAGGTTCAAGGATGCTATGGGGGGCTCTTTGTTGGGATGGAATCATCATGCCTGGAGTTGATTCAGTCAAGGTGTGAAAGGTGTGATGGAGGGGTGGGTGCTTGGGAGGGCTGGGGACCAGGATGGCAGTGACCTGAGGAGGGAAGGAGCTATGGAAGAGCCTGGCAAGGATGGAAGGCAGTGCTCAAAGATTGCCTGTGAAGAGTCTGGGACTCTAAAGGTGCACCAGACAACCTAGCCAAGGTGAGAGGAGGCAACCCTGGGACTTGGATCCTGTCTATAGAAATTGAGGGAGCTAGAAGAGAGCTTGCTGAGATGGAAGGGTTGGTTTTTGATACACAGCCTGAGAAGGGGCTGTGTACCAATCATGGCAGAGAGAGACTGGATGAAGGGGTTAGGTGTCCAGAGATGTCCAGGACAGAGTGCTCAGGGGCTGAAAGAAAACTGCCAGTTGGGTGGGATGGACAGTCTGGTGAGTCAGTGGAAAACCCAGTCAGTGTTTGGCTGGCTAGGATAGTTTGCTGGGATGTTGTGTACTCTGGAGTTTTTTGCCATGGGCTGGCAAGATGAGGGACAGTTTGGGTTCAAAAGAAGAAATAAGAATAAACTGTGGGAAAGACTGGAAGTGGAGTTTTGATGTTGATGAGAGAAAGAAAGATCCCAGGGAGAAAAGAAGTGTTGGAAAAGAGAAATAAATTGTATGAGAGGTACTAGCAGGGATTGAAGGGAAAAACTGTGTCTCTTGGGTGGAGGGCAATGCTGGGAGACAGGTGAGGTGTGTAGTGCAGTCTAAATTGAGGTTGGAGGAAGGTTGGATGATGGACCAGGGTCATCCAGGTGCTGGAAACAATTTGAGTTTAGATGCCAAAATAGCTGGGGTGGGACAAGTGGGATGCTGGCAAAGTACAGTGAGGACTAGAAGGAGGGGTTGGAACTATGGCTGAGGGGTGGTGACAGAGAGCTGCTGTGGATGTAGATCCATTCATGAGTATGCTGCATGAAGAGAGAACACAAGCAGAAGGCAGTAGCAATGGGGAAGGAGCTTTCCCAAGGGTAAAGCCTTATTTTGTCCAGGAGCCCTCTGGACATAAGTTGGATTCGTGCAAGTAGAGGGATTCATGCATGGAAGGAGGTGTAAGCAAGAGCACCAAAGGCAGCTTCTTATCTCCACTGGGTTAATTCTGGCTGCATCCCTACCTGCTGGGTCACAGAGAAGAAGACTGAGATAAAGCCTGTGGGATCTGCTCTATTTCAGATGAGTTGGTGATAGGGAATGTCACACCAGGCACCAAAGCCATCACAGGGTGGACATCTGCTGTAAAGATGAGGGCAGCTGCCTCCAGCAGTGCAGTGCTTTGTGGGACACATTTGGCTTGCAGCTGCCAGATCTGCTCTTCTGCCTTATGATGTCCTGATAAGCTGCTGTAGTCTGGGATCTGGCTGCTCTTATCCAGGCATTTGTGTACAGAGAGGGTGACTGGGTGTTCGCCAGCGTTCGTGTTATTTGATACAACATTTTACTGCCTCTTTGTCTATTTTCCACTTCTTGGAGTTGTTTTTTGAATTATAGCCTCTCAGGCAGGGTGGGTGGCACTTTGGGGTGCCTGGTGGGCTGGGTGGACTGGACAGAGGACTGGAGAGCAATGCACTATATCTCTAGATTCTCAACATTCACTAAAACAGAATAATCATTTATGGTAGAAACTCTGAAACAGCAGCAAATACATCCAAAGCAGCTATGGCAGCCTGGGGGTATGGGTCAGTAGTCAGAAATCATCCAGACAGCTTGATGTAACAATTTACTGGTTGTCATCTGAGCCATGGTAGCTGCCTGTGAGCACGTTCCTGCCATGTCCCGCTGGCACTGGGAAGCGCTAAAACTCCCCTCAACGACTGCTTGCTCCAACTCCAGTGCTAAGAGGGTTAATGCTGAGGTTTAAATTATTTCAGTGGTCATCCGAGTGAGTAAGTACAGAGGGGCAGTGTCTTCTTCTGCAGAGCATATGAGGATTTCTCACAGCTGTGGGGCAGGGGTGGTGGAAGGTCATAGTTGGAGCATGGAGGGAAGGATGAGCCATAAAACTGCAAAGCATGAGAGATGTGTAGAGCTGAAAGTCTTTGGCACCGTTAAGCAGCATCTGCAGTGGGCGCATGGCAAGGGCGAAGGGAGGCTGCTACATGAAAGGATATGCTGCTTTCCAAAGTTTAGGAAATGCTGTGTGAAGCAGAGCTTGTGGCTTCCTCATCACAGTAATGCTTCCTACTGTCACTGAAATAACAATCTTTACCAAGAGACGTGGTATATTAGTGATAGATGCTGGGGCCAGTGGATCACCAGTGTTTTTCTAAAACCATTGATTGAAGATGACATCATTGTGTCAAAACCGGATTTGTCAAAGTGTGGCCCTGTTTTATAGTTAAGGAAACTGAGTCACAGAGTGCCTAGCTGACATAAGGCACATCTGGTGAAAAGGATAAAATAACAGCATAGCTAAATGCATAGTCAGGCATCTTTCTCCTGCTCCTGAGCTCATGTTTCTAGAAAAACCATCATGTATGTCTTGCCTGCTCTAGGACTACCTCATACTTAGAAATTCTTTATTTTGTCCCTTGTTCCTTGGCAGTAAGGCTCTATTTAAAACGGCCCCATTAAAAATGCTTTCAAGTATTATAAGTGTCTCACTACTTTAGTTTTCAGTACAGTTCAATGTCCTGACTTCTAGTTTATTTTACTGATTGCTGCGAGGTTGATATGAGAAATCACCTGCAGATAGGAGAGTATACCAGTCACTGGCCAAAACTTTGAAGTTCTGAAACCAGACAGACACTGCTGACATTGTCCAGTGCTGGGCATTGGCTCTTCTCTGCACAGGGCAAAATACTTCTTTCAAACCTGCTGAAACCAGAGGAGTTTGATTTTAATTATGAAAAGAGGATTCATGCTGGTATTGGTTTATGTATCAAACTGGAAAGTGCTGTGTGACCTCTTTGACAGAAAACTACATTAGTAGGTTTGAGCTGGAAAAACTCTGTAGGTGACTCGACTCCATTAAATTTTGGATTTCAATGCAGGAAAGAAAGTCTGCATTGAATGACACCATATGGTGGAGACATGCAGCAAGCAAATGATTTTTTGGGAGTTTTGCCAGAGTAAGAAGTATTGAATAAACTGAGCTCAATAGATTAATTTACTTCGGTTGTATTTTGAAAAAGACTGGATGATTTTATGACCATTAGTGACATTTGCAGTTCTGCAGCCGAAGATAAAGGTAATCAGACGTCATTCTTCAGGGCACCAGCTAATCAGTGCAGTTGTCAGGAAGGACTCCCCTCCTCCAGCTCTGTGTGTGCAGGATTGCACCCTGGATGACAAATGTAGCCTCATATATCCACTGTGCAAGGCAAGATATTTGGCTCAGCTAAGCCCCTCGTCCTTCCCTGTGTCAGCTCCTCCTGTGTGACTTTCTGAAATCATCATGTGTACCCTCTATCTTTAATTTACACTTTAAAAATGGTGAACTGCTACCATATTGCTTAATAGAAAGCAAATAAATAAATTGGTGCCCAGAGCTGTGCTAGGTGCTGTGCCAGCTCCCATGGTGCTCCCATGCCATGGAAATATGGTCTGTCTGGGGTGAGAGATAATCAACTGATACGAATAAGTAGAATCCAAGACAGGTTTGAACTTGACATATTTGCTGCCTAAACCTCATCAAGGATTGTAGGTGTGGCAGAGAAGGAATTAGCAGAAGAATCATGGGCTGGTTTTATGGATATTTTGTGAAGTTTCTCCCACGGTTGTAGGAAAGTCACAGAAGTTTGAGAATGGAGCTCAGCAGTGCTGGGGAGTTGTCATCTTGATGGCAAATGTGCTTGGCTGAGATGAGTCTTGAGGATAAAGTGACTTGTGGTTGCAGTAATGGGGAAGAGGGGATCTCTGCAGGGGTATAGAGATGGGGAAGATGTGGTTGTAATGGCAGGCTGAGCTGCTGAGCTTTGTGGCTCTATTGCATCTTGGTGAAGTGAATTGATTCTACCTAAATGTCCACATCTAGTAGATAAGCAATTGGTGGTGTCTGAGGGTGGCTTTATTTTAAATTCATTATCTGAGCCTTGTGGCTAATAAAGTTAAACAAAATACATTTACTTCTCTTTCCTAATAAGAATCAACTGTGCTTTGCAGCAGCTTGTGGGCCACACTTTTTATCCATGCTCCGTGTATCCAGCCCTCAGTACAAGGGAGAATTGTTCTTTCCATTATGGCTTTATATTGCCAATCTGATACAATATTTAAACAGATTATCTCAATGCTCTGTTTGTCCCAAACCAATTTTTGCTTTGGCCTGTAAAGTGAATCTTCCTTTCAGTGGCTTCTGTGGTACAGGATGTAGTTACATGCATCAGCTAGTTCAAGAGACCCATATACAGCATGAATAAACCCACAAAACCCTTAGCTAGGACTATAAATGTCACTGTATTTTTATATATGTAGGATTTTTTTTTTGAGAGAGAGAATAGGATTACTGCATGCAGCTATAATTGAAAGTCCTTTGATAATTTGGTGGGTATTTTAAACCTAGCAATGATATACTTTCATAAAACCGCACATCCCTGTTTTCTGAAGGATGTTAATAAGATGGTTAGTTTTGCTTTCATGCTCAATGTGTTTATGAGTGCTCTTACCCATTTAGTTGCATCTTCGAATTTAATGCCCCACTCTGATTTCATAGTAATTGTCAGGAGTCTCTTTTTCTTTATTGTATGTCCCCGCTCACTGTCTGGAAAATACAGTCTCCTCATTGCTGACCCCATCAGTCTGTCTCCTCACGGTGCTTGTAAAGAAAACCCTCTCCACCAAGGACAAAGATGTTTTTAAACAAGCCAATCTGATATGAGACATAGTTTGCTTAACCCAGAGGTGACCAAGAAGCGGGTGCTGGCTGACTGTGCCCAGCCTTGAGTTGCTCTGTCTGGTTGCCCTTCTCCAAAGGCTGCACACGCTGCCATGCTGTGCTGTTCATTATCTGAGCAGCATCTGCAGTTCCCTTCTCTGTTACAGATGCCGCAGTCTGCTTAGTTTTGTGCAGCTGACACGCTGCCCGTACACTCCTGTGAGGCGTCTCTGCAGCTCCTCAGCCAGCTCACATCTACCCTGGCCTGCTCAAGACTTGTCCTGCTTCTCACCATGGACACTCCAGTGAGCAAGTGCCACTGGCCTGGCTGCTATGCAGGCATCCTGGGAATCCTCCCTTCTCCCTACTGGCTAAGTCTCAGCATGAAACATTTCTTACCTGCCCTGCTTCAAAAATCTGCTCCTCCTCTGTTGCTTTTGTGCATCCCCTTTGCAGCAGATCTTCCCATCTCATGGCTTTCTACCTGACAAATCCCATCAATAACAAGGCATTGCTTTCTGACTCTCCTCAGCCCCTTAGTTTCGGCATTGTGTTTGCCAGCAGAGGAGTGCTTGTCCAGCAGTGTGTGTGCAACAGGGGCTGCTTGTCCCACATTGTGGTGGCATGCAGCAGGGAACTCTGCTGAGTTATTTTTTCCAGTCTACTAAGCTGTCAGGAAATGCCTTCTGTCTTTCTAGCCAGTGTGCTCCCAAGATCAATTAAAAAAAATTAAAAAGAAAAAAATGAGAAATGCATGTGGACTTGGCTTTCTTTAGTTTTAAATCTTTACTAACTGCAGGGAGAATGTTGGATTCACATTTTAAATACTATTTACAAAGTAGTAACAGTCATGGGAACCAATACTATTATTTGGCTCTTGATTTAAGTTGCATATACAGACCATGCTGGCAGCTACTGAAATAAAGTCCACTTCTCTATGTTGCCTTGCTTGTCTTCCAGCCTTTTAAATCAGCTTACTTTATACCTTAGAGAATACTTTTATTTCTATATATATCTTCTCTTCTATTGGCTACCCCTGATAATCCTGTGATCAGCCATGCAGCAGTGTCACTTGAGTAGAATATGGAACGATGCTGATCGTTTTCTCATAGGCTGTCATACTAGCCCAGAAATAGCATCCATCTACAATGGGAGAAGCTCTATTAACATTTACAACTGTTCCTCTTCCCGACCCTTGAGAATTGCTCCGTGGTAGATAAGCAATACTTTGTAATACATTTCCTTGCGCTCAGTATTTTGGAGTTGAATTCTGAAATATAAAGGCACCTAATCCTGATCTGCTCTGGGATACACTGCTCTGCTCTTAGCAAGTGGAGCTGTGAATAGGATTAGCATTTCAACAGCTTCTTTTTTTAACTGTGAGCAATAAACTAAAATAATAGGGCCTGATTCAGAGCTCTCCAAAGTCGGCAGTAGTGCTTTGGCTGATGTACATTGGCTTTGGGTCAGGCCCATAAGAATGGGAAAATCAGTGTTTCCCTAGAAAGGAAGGAGAATGTGTGAATTTTAGAGTTCCTGCTCCTGTGGAGTCTGTCCACACTGAGTTGAAATCCACAGATTTACAAGCCAACAAACACAACTGTAAATTTGACGGCAGGTGAAAAGAAAATGTGTTGCTAGTCATGCAGTTAAAACTTGTGCTTTTTAATGATGTCAAGGGCACTTAGGACATGCATATAAACAAGTAACCACTAGAGGTATTTTTGCTGCTGTTCCTTTTCTCTTTCCTCAGACGTGTGGAAGCGCAGACCATCATCAGGGCAGAACATGGGTTGGGCACTGTGGCCAGGGAGATGAGCTGTTGGGCTGGCAGGGCTTGCAGTCACTGGCTGCACTGAACACAGCCCTTCAAATTCATTAGCCATGGGCCCATGGGTGAGAGCCAGCTGTGAGCATCTGGCCCTCAGGGCCCTGCACGTGGTGTTACAGGCCTGTACATTTCAACTAAAAGCTGTTTGGGGATTTACTGTGCCTGTGCCGGTGCCTGTACTGAGCAGGCATAGCACCCTCTACCAAGCAGAGCCCATTTCTAATTCACAGCTCTTGAACAGGGCCTGGATTCCCAGTTTTTTACCTGCCTATCACCTATGAAATAGGTGATACTTGAGCCTGCTTACTGGGCAGTAAGATTGCAGTTTTGCTGTTGCTTGCACAAGCTCTGAATTTCTGAACCTCAGCTTTCCACAGGGCTTTTTAAAAGCACAGGCAACAGTGGCAATCTGCAGCTTTCTACACATACTTTTCAAACCCAGTTTTACCAAGTTCCTTCTCTCCTCCCTGTTTCTTACACATCACACATGTTTTTTGAGCTGTAGCTGGTAATTTCACAGAAACCCATTAAATTACTCTGAAATCGAAAACGCTTGCAGGGGTGGATCAGATGTCACATGCATTTGAATCTCCGAGCGTTACTAAAAGCTTCAGCATCACGACCTGTGGTGCTGAGTCCTTCCCAAAGCACTCCCACCTGGGAGCAGGGAGGTGAGCAGTCAGAAGCAGCATTTGCAGAATGGCTGAGGTTGGGAGTGGGCAGAAGGACACTGCTGGAGACAGGGGATGTGTTGCAGTGGTGACAGTTGGACTGCAACGTGCAGCTCTTTATCCTGAGGACAAGTTTCTGATTGCCACGATCTGGAGGGGATCGGGAGCAACCTTCAAGGCTCAAATAGTCCTTGGCTCTCAGCAGGAATGTTTAGAGGGTTTAGTTCCTCATAGCAACAAAGCACTTCAAGACATTTAACTGATTACACCCTTGCAGGTCGACAAGAAGCATTTTCTCCATTTTGCTGTTGGGAGAACAAAAAGGCTTGAGATGTGGGCCCCATGGGCTCAGGTTTCTGCTGATATTTGAACTTTCTTCCTGGCTCTTGGTTTTAGTGGGCTTCAACAAGGGAATTGTCTGGGAGAGATGGAACAGGAATGCTGAGGTCTTCAGAAGGGGCTGTAGGTGTTTCCTGGATTTTCTCAGGCAAATTACTAGCAAGAGCACCTTTGTCCACAGGCAGGGTGTCAGTGTGGTGTGTGCTTCTTGGGCTCTGAGGAGGAGTCCCTGACACGCAGGGGCTGCAGAGTAGTGTGGCAGCGTGCCAAAGACACTGAGGCATTCCTGGTGTCACAGCCTGCTCCTGTGCCCTTGGCTGCAACTGTCCCTCTCCTGTGGGGTGGGCTGGGCAGTGAGAGGCAGGTGGTAGCAGGGTGATTTGCATCTCTTGGTTATGTACCAGGATCCAGAATATTTTTCCAGCCATTTTAGAGAGGTGCTGGTCTCTGACTGGTGGCACTGACAAAAGCTTGGGTGTGCTGCTATAAGGTGCATGTTTGTAAATGAGCTGACCTGCATATTCTGTTTCCTAATCCTGAGTGATACTGTCAGCTCAGAGAGCTGAGCCTGGGTAATGACTGGAATCCACTGTGCTTTTCTTAGTGAGGATGTGTGGTAATCTGAGGTAGTTGTTAAGTGCTACATCCTGAGAATCAGAACTGCACATGCCCCATGGGTTCAGCGTGTTTTAGACAGATAAACAGGGTTTGAGATGACCAGGGTAGTTACTGTGAAAACCAGTGTCAGGTACATTGTAACCTGTAGTTACCTAGGAGGCAGATCAAATTAATGGGGTTTTCCCTCTGATAAAAATAATGAAGAGCTTGCAAGGATCTGCGCAGGGTATGCATAGGCACTGTCTCCCTGGCACAGGGAATGCCAAACAGCTGTGTGACAAGAGCAGTGCAGCCAGCAGGGCACCCCACTGCGTGACATTTGTGCTGTCTGAGACCTTGCTGTTGGTACTCTGAGATGGAAGAAAATAGGGGCAAAGGGAGGAGTAGGAAATGAAATTGGAGTAAGGACTGCAGAAAGGTATTTAGGGTGTCTTGGGAGCCACCACCAGACAGAATCCATTTCAAGGGAGGAGGGTATAACATTGTGGGGGACGAGAGTTGGGGTGGGGAAATAACAGCTATGGTCTCTCTTGTGCATTTAGGGTTTACTGTCAATCTTGCGCAAACTAAAAAGCACTCCAGACCAGGAGGTGAGAATCCTCCTCTTGGGACTGGATAATGCAGGCAAGACCACACTCTTGAAACAGCTGGCATCAGAGGACATCAGCCACATCACCCCAACACAGGTGAGGAAGGCCTTTCCTTCTTGAGGCAGTTACTGTGGTCCCACCTGCCACGTTATACAAAGTGCTCATGATTCTAAAAGGGGGAGCAACTGGAGCCTGGTGCACCATCATTAAGTTTCTGTCTTTTCTGCCTAAGAGGAGGTTTTCTGAAGGAGCCAGAGAGCTTCAGGCCACATTGGTCAGGTAGTGCAAAAGTGGATGAGTGCTGTGGAGTTCTGCAAAAGGCTTTTGCATGGATGAGACTTGTTCCTGTTGTTCTTGCCAAATAGGGGACATGTAGAGTGGATGCTGCAGCACTGGACGAACCCTTGTCTGTTCACCCAACCAGCTCCAAGGGTTCTGCATATACCAGTGCTCCTCTCTAATGTTTCTCGTGCCCTTTTGTTGAGCTTTGGGATTGGAGGAGAGGGATGGCTCCCATCAGAAGCACTGCAGCATTGCTCCAGAGGAGGTTGCTAGAGAGCTATGGGATATGCTTCCCCCCACCCTGTAGCTGCCTCCCAAAGCTCCCAGCCCTGGCACCCTAATTCCAAGCCTTGGTCCCCTGGGTGGTGTGGCAGCGCGTTGCCAGCCCACACCACATCCTGTTTTTCTACTTGAATGCACTTTCAGTTGGTGCTCTAATTGATGAAATGGACCCTTCAGACGTGCAGCTGTTGCTCTTTTAAGCCCAGCATTAGCTGTGTCGTGTCGAATTGAGCTGAGACCTCTGGCTTCATATTAGTTGTGACTGTCTACTCAGCTTTCACAAGCTCAATCTTGCTTCTCACAGTGCCCTTGTTTTCTCCTTATCTGCAGCTCTCCCACCTCTTCCTGCACCCACCCTGCTGTGCTCTCTAAGGGCACTAACTGCATCATATGTCTCCATAGGCATGACAGCATCAACCCTTGACCCAAGAGCACTGACAAACTGATGGTTTAGCGGCTGCTTTTGCTGGTGCCTGTCCCACAGCTGATGCATCTTTGTGGCTGCCCAGCCCATCTCAATGCACATTGCAGGCATGGGATATATAAGGTGTTAATGTCTGGCTACAAATATGCTCCAGCCATTCAGGTTTATGCTCTATGTGGCTTTGTTTCTGCTCTTTCCAGGGCTTCAACATCAAAAGTGTACAGTCTCAAGGCTTCAAACTGAACGTATGGGACATAGGCGGACAGAGGAAGATCAGACCATACTGGAGGAACTATTTTGAAAACACTGATATCCTTGTGAGTATTGGCTGCAGCTGAATGCTGTGTTCATGCAATGGCTTTCCAAAGTCTCAGCCAGAAATTCAGAAACAAGTAATGTAATATCCCAGCCCTCAGCAACACCATTGCCATTGTAACAGGAGTTATTCTGAGCTAAATGGCAAGATTGGTTGAGTGCAGTAAGAAAATGCAGTTATGTTTGCAGAAATCATTCAGTTGCATGTTTTTACTTTCACAGGATGGTGCTGTTTATAGCCAGTTCCTTTCCTCTCATCTCAGTCTCTTTCAAATGAAAGAACATTAATAACATGTACTTTACCCATCTATAGCTCCTTTCACTGGAGACTCTGAAGGCCTGTCATGGGCATTAGTGACTTAAACATCATGTGTAGAGGTAGGTCAGTATGGTGCCCTTGTTTTATAGGTAGGGAAACTGAGGCATAAGAATTAAATGCTCTGTCTGGCATAAGATAGGAAAGCTTCTGAGTGAGGGACACAGAGAGACTCCTTGTCTTTTCTTTTTCTCCTTTAATCGTAAGGCTGTCTTTTAATGGTTTCGACAACTTAGCTGTACTTACCTTACAATTAGCTACAGATGACCACAATTACATTTACAGTGCGGGACCTTTGTTTTTCCATGCCAGAGCACATTGCCCTGGGACCCTTCAGGTGCTGTCTTGGCTAGTTTCAAAGATCACCTCTAGCATGCAGCCACATATGCCAGAGTGAAGGCAGACTGGGGGCTGCAGGCCTCTCTCTGCCCCAAGCACTCTTGCCTGTGGGAAGAGAGAAAAACCAAGGTCTGCAGGCTCCCATGGGACAGTAGGAAGCTCTCTCAGAAGGACACCATTCCTCCCTCCCATCACACACATACTTAGTAATGTGTCAGAAGCTTTAGTGCACTTGCACGGAAGAATCAGTGCAACTAGGAATAGGACTCTGTTCACCAAGGCTTGTGTCCAGTTGCTGAAAGGCCTGGCTGTGCCTGCAGGCTTAGAAAACATTGTCCAAATGAAGCTGTTACTTAAATGGGACTAATAAACCCTTGACACTCTCTTTTGCCAATCTTCATTTTTGAGCCTTAATTTGGAATCTAAAGTTCAAGGACAGCCACCACTGCATAAACCCAGCTGATTGCTTTTGCAAAAAGGAACTGTGAGATTTTTCATGGGGTATGATTTGGGTTTGAGAAACGAGCAGGACACACACTGTGCTCCTCTGTGGCTGTTGAGGACAGAGATGGTGTGGCTGTGAGGTGACTGTGCCCACTGAGCCCAGGCTCTAGCGCTGTGGGTGGTGGGGAGGCAGTAAGTATGCAGATCAAGGTCAGCCCTGCAAAGCAGCAGCGTTGGGATCTCTGCCTGCTGTGGCAGGTGCTCAGGATGCAGAGGCTGTGCAACCACAAAACAGTATCTGGAAGACTCTGCTGGCAAAGACAATAAACTACAGTGGCCTGTTGCCTTCCACCCTTCCTAGTGTGTGCTGCATGGGAGGTGCAGAAATAAAGGTGTCTTTGAAGACTGAAGGAGATGAAAGGAGTTGTTTTCCCTGCCCCTCTCTCACCCCAGTTAAAGCAATGTACAGAAAAAAAACCTCTTCATATGACTAAGAAAATGGGTGGATAGAAGCAGAATCCGTTTGGGGGAAGCAGCAGTGTGAATTCAGAGAAATAGCTGGTGCACCGATGGACTTGAGTTCCCCTAGCTGCACTTCATGCTGACACCCAGTCCCAAACTGGGAGATGTTGGCATGTTGGGGCAGTGCTTTGCTATTTCCATACACACCAAAACTGGGATCAGTGTATGCTGATGGCTTGCTCTGTCTTCTGCCAGTCCTTACCCCTGTTTTAGCCAGTAATTTTACCCTCTGACAAACCTGGTGCAGATTGTGCATTTATAAATTGAGCCAATTTATCCCTCATGCTATTTCTTCATCTAGCCCCACCACTTGCAATTTCTGCCCAACCCATTTATTCCAGGCTGTGTTTTGGCTTGTTTCTTAAAGGAGGTACCCAGCTTTACAGGAATTTCTTTCTCAAATCTCCGTTCTCCAGCATGGTGTTCCAATTGGTAAACTATGTTACCAAGCCCCACAGGCAAAAACAGGCTCTTGTGTGGCCTTGGCCATAAAAAGAGGTTGGACATGAGATACACTACAGTTCCCAGGACCCCCTGCTTCTCTGTTCCCCTAAACTGCATTGCATAAAACAGAAAGGACCCTCTAAAGAGTATTAAAAAGCAGGAAGTAATTACGAATTCAAATCCATGCAGGTGCCTTTGAATGAGAGCTTGGTCTTGCATCACACACCTGTGATATTTGGAAGCTTAACGCAGGCAAATAAGGTGTGGATATCTGGCTGATTGCATATTCAGACAGGCACCTGCAGCTATTTGGCACAGTGCTTGCTGGTTTGGAAGTAGGCACTCGGCACATACTTTGCTTTCTCTGTGCTGTGCTTTTGTGGCTTTTGCCCCAAGCACTGTTGTATCTAGTTCTCATCTTGCAAAACAGCTCCCTAGTGAGGAATGAGCGGTGCAGGAGAAAGCCTGGCTGGATGGGACCCAGAGCCATTCCTTCCCAGCTAGAGAAGCACCGCAATATGGAAGGTGCTGCCTTTCAGTTCACAAGCAGCGCTTGACCATTGCATTCACGTGTTGTGGACTTCCCCAGAGATGTCCAGAGGGAGGACAGATGACAGTCCAGTCTCGCCCCAGAACACAACTGCCAGCCCTGCAGCTTCTTCCTTTCTTTTGCTCTGTGCTTCCTACCCTACATGGGATGCATAGGGGTGGATGCTTGGTAGGGGCGGGGAGGACGTGTGTAGCTGATGCAGTATTGGTGCACGTGCCTGGGATCACATTGCAGGGAGAGGCCCGTGTGTCATGCCCACGGGCTGGTCCCCATCACGTGGCAGCGGGTGCGTGCTCTGCTGACGCATCCCCACGCAGCTGCGTCCAGCCCTGCCCGTGTCCCCCAGCCCCTGTCAGTGCACATCAGCCCCCAAGTGATCTGTACTGCGGCTGGGAGGTTGCTGGGTTACCTCCTCAGGCCTCGCATACAGATTTTCCTGCTGCGTGTTTGGTCCCATTTCAAACAACTCAAATGCTGCTCATTAAGAGAAAGCCTATAGTTTAATAGATATTGCTGCTAGAGATCTTCCCTCCTCCTACTATTTGATCGAAATTATCCTAGAAGCATGGAGTCTTATGCTGAGACTGCCTGCAAGGATGCCATTTATCTTGATGGCAGGGTGCTGTGCTCATCTATTCCCTGAAAACCAGGCTGACACTTGCTCCCTGTAAGCCACCAAAGAGCATGCAGATGACATGCTAGCAGCTTCAATCACTACTGATGGGGAATGGCAGCAACTGGAAGCAAAATGCTCAGTGTTTGTCACCAGTCCCATCCCTGTCTGCTATCCCAGCATCCTTCTTCAAAAACCTTCACATATCAAGCAATGAAAAAGGGATACCAGTCTATTCTTGCCTGCATGTTGTACTGAGGTTTCCCATTTTTTTAGATGGCAACTGAAGATGGAGTCTTGCAGGCTGAATCCAGCCTTCATACCCAACCACCTTCTCCAAGAGGCTACAGTAGGATTGCCTGATGGAGACAAACTCAATGTCCCCAACACATTCATGTGTCCCCTGAGTGCCATTGTGTGCCTTGGTGGCTTATTGAGGAGGTGATGCTAGAGGGCAGCACGGCACAGTCACACCAGGCCAGTGTTTGTATACTTTGCCGGGGTGAAAGGCCATGTCTGGCTCCCCAGGTTTTGCCCTCCTATGCTCAGCTTCAGCTTGTAACAATAAGTTTGAAACAATACCAGCAATCTCCCGCTCTCTTCAGATAATATATGCTGTGGTGATGGTGACAGCATCCCAGTACTTCTGCCAGCTCCTTTCTCATTCTACCCACATGGTTGTCCACTCCTCTGGCATTAAAAGAGGTGGTTCCTCTCCTTTCAGAACATCATGAAGTTTTGTCAACATTTGCTGCAAATAATAGCAAGGATCTTTGTGCCCAAAAGTGTAAACTCACTTAAGCACATGCTGCTGTGGAAGAGTGTCTTCTGGGAAGAGTAACTTTTCCTGTCATTTCTTTTTTCAGATCTATGTCATTGACAGTGCAGATAGGAAGAGGTTTGAAGAAACAGGTCAGGTAAGTTACTTAAGCTCAGCTTCCTTTGAAGTAACTCAGTACTTCTGAGTGCCCCTTGCTCACAAAAGTTAGGAAGAAGATTTTGTTGTTTATGAAGGAAATTTGCATTTCAAGAGACTTGTCTTTCAACATCAATACAGATTATTTTGGTAGATGTGAAACAAGGAAAATAGGTAGCCTAATTCTGTTTAAATAGAACAGTGTTCATTAAAGTTATACAATAATAGCAAATGGAGCCTAATACTGAAAGCACAAACTTCTCTAAGTCCTTTAAACCTTGCCAAACCAAGACCCTGAGGGATCCTATTTTCTTATATACGAAGCTGAAATGGAAATCATATTGACTTGATTGTCTTTTGGATGTAATTGTAAAAAAGCTAAGAACTATCTAACTAATACTGCCAGAAAATAAGATTTCTGTTTTACAAAATTCTGATGTTTTGTAACATTTTTTGTTTTAGGTTGGAACAAAAATAGGACTTAAACTTCATTGTATAAAATTCTGAATGTGACAGTGTCCCAAAATAGCTAGCAATAGATTTACCCCACAGAAATCATTCTGCCTGATTTGAAGGATATACTTGATCTTTTGCCTCTCAAGTCTCATGGACATACCCCAACAGCAGAACTGTTGGTTGTTCTAGGGGTGGGGGAATCTTTCCCCTGCTGGAGCTATTTCATTTTATATCAGTAATTAAATATTCATTGGGCAAAAGAGATGGAAAGGAAGCAGCAGCTTAGATCACTTGCCTGAGTCAGGCGGAGCCAACCTAAACCCCTCCTCATATTTCCGCAAACACTTTTGGTTTCAATAAATCAGCCGTGTCAGATGAAAGACCTATTTTGTTGAAAATTTCCCAGCCAGTTCTGTTTATAACTCCATCCTCTCATCCTGGCTTCCAAACCAAACATTGCTTTTGGGGGGGATGGAGTTGTCTTTCCACTGCAGTTTAGCATCTCCCCGACTGCACTTGTTTAATCCAGAAGTTTCTATTCAGTGGATAAAAGATGTTAGAATGTTATCTGAGAGCATGAGACCTTTCCAGCTAAATAAGGAGGCCACAAAAATCTCCTATACTCATCTGTCTGCAATGCCAGCAGTCCCTACAGGTTCATGTTCTGCTGAGTTTGTCATATGTTCCCATAGGGAAGAGACTTGAGACTGAGTGCCGGTTTCACATGAGACCATTGCACAACCTACCAGCAGTCTGACATGAAGTATTTCTGCCACCATTGATCCACTGCAGATTCAGATTTGAGCTATTAAAAAAATCTTTTTGAGTCAACCAATTTTGAATGAACAAACCCTTTTTTAAGATGCCATCCAATGTGTGCTGTGCATGTGGAGCCAAAATTCAACTATTAAGGCTCATCTAGCTTGTCTTCAGCTAATCAATGCCTTTAAAATTATCAACACTTTCCTGTGGGAGGGAGATTTCCATTTTGCAGGGGGAGGTAGGGGTTGGGAAGTCCTCTCCTATTTAAATTGTAGTGACTAAAACTTTGAACAACCCCTTGAAACTCATGATGAGCAAAGATACCAGGGCCAGTGTCAATGGTTGCTCAGGTACAAGTCAGGTCAGTCAGGCAATAATTTAAGACAGATTCCTCATACTGCCAATTTACTTGTTGTTTTTTGCTGTTTCATCAGTTTTGGTCTCCTGGGATCAGAGACTGGTAAAACACAGAGTCGTAGCCTTTAAGGCAACTGCTAATTTCAGACCAAAATTAAGATTTTTCTAACCTGCAATTGGAAGAAATAGCTTTTGAACCTTGGGCAGAGATGATTGTATACATTTTTGCTCTCTTATAATAAGATCTAGGTTTCACTGGAACACACTCTTCTAGCATTTGCCCTAAATATATTTCTAATTAGAGACAAGCATTGGTGGTTGAAAATTTTCTTCCCTTCCCTCTCACCATCTTCCCCCCACCCCACTCCCTTGTAAATGATACAGGAGCTGGCTGAGCTTTTGGATGAAGAAAAGCTTAGTGGAGTGCCCGTGCTCATATTCGCTAACAAGCAGGATTTGCTGACGGCTGCCCCTGCTTCGGAGATTGCCGAGGGACTGAACCTGCACACAATCCGGGACAGAGTCTGGCAGATCCAGTCTTGTTCAGCTCTTTCAGGAGAGGGAGTACAGGTGAGGCTCTGCAGAAGGCTTGCTGTGCCAGCAGGCCATCTGTAAGAGATTGCTGATCTGCAGGGTGGGGCTGGACCAGCCTCACCGATGAGGGTCAGCACAGCCAAAGCCTTGCAGTGCAAAATGCGGGGGGTGCGTGTCTTGGGTCCTGTGCAAAGGGAAGGGAGAGCTGGGGGCCCTGGGGCTCTCTCCATCCCTGGTAAAGGGGAGAGCGATTCCCTCCCCACCCAGGAGCCCTTAGCTGGCCCAGATGAAGACATTGATTTCTTTTAAAGAGACTGCCGTCAGGTTAATCATTCTCACAAAACAAATTGTCTTTTACTATTAACCCTTTGACTGGTACGAGTGTGAACTCTAGAAATCTGATTTACCTTTGCTACTGATGTCATTTGGCATTTTACTAAACCCAGGCACTAGGGAGAAAAACTGATCAATTTTTCTGATCCAGAGAAATGCTAGAGTTGCACATGGAGCAACAACCACTTCTAATGTCAGCATGTGGGGCAGCAAAAACACACCGAGGGGCCTGCACTGTGTCCCTGTGCTGAACTGTAATAGTTGTGTCTTGGGCTCCTGTGCTGTAGTCAGTTCCTGCAGTATAGTAGTTCTTTGTAATGTAAATGGGACCTAGGTTTGTTTATTTCACTCTTAGGTTTTCCTGAATTAATGAGGTATTTGCAGAGCTCGAAATCTGAGTACTCCCTTCACTGATATTTAAAGAAACAGAATGGTGAAGACATTTATCTTCACTGCAGTTTCAGTAAAACCTTATTTGCAGATGCTACAGAGCAGTTCAGAATAGTGAGATCTCAAGCTGAGTATGAAGAATCACAGAAGCAGCCCTCCATGCTGAGTGGGCAGTAAAATGGCAGATGAAATTCAGTGTTGACAAGTGCAAAATAATGCACATGAGAAACAACAATCCTAATTATACGACAATGGACTCAAAATTAGCTGCCATTACTCCGAAGGAGAGCCTTGGGAACAGAGCTCATCAAAGGCCAGAGAGGAAAATTCAAACACTGGACAATTACAAGAAAGCGAAGAAGAAACATCTTTTCTAGCAGGTTAAAGTCATTGTGAGCCCATACCTTGAATATGACCTCAAATTCTGTCTCTGCCACATTTAAAAAGGTTTTAGGAGTAATAGTAGAATCATAAAGTCCAACAAAAAATTAGGTAGAAGGGTCTTCAGAAGATCTTCAGACCAACTTCATGTTTAAAGCAGGGATAGCTGTGAGTCTAGAGGAGGTTGCTGAGAGTCTTGTCCAGTCAAGTTATAGCTAAGCATGTAAATTCCATATCCTCTCTAGGTAACCTCTTCCAGGCTCTTAACTTCCCTAATCAGAAAAAAATACACTCCACATATCTGCTTAGAATTAGGAGAGATTTGAGGATTCTCTGTCAGGAATGATCAGCAGCACAGAGTGGCACCTGTATACAGGGATAATAAATAAATTAGGACTAGTAGTTTGTAAGAGAGAGGACATAGAGTGGGAACATCTTCAGGATTTATAAAATAAGGTATAAAAATGTCAGATAGACTGTATGCTATTTTTACACTGCTAGAGGAAGAGTGTTCCTAATGAAATAATCAGAAAATGGTTTAAAATAAATAAAAATAAGTACTTTTTGCAAGTGGCATAATTAAATTCTGGATCTCATTGGCACAGGATGTTGGGGAGACCAAAGGTATCAGAAAAAAAACAGTATCAGAAAAATACTTAAATGAATTTCTGAAGAAGGGATGTACAGGCAATCACTGACCAGTAAGGTCTGGAGGCAGCTTTTGACTGAGGAACAGCTTGGGCCATACACTGGGAGCAAAGAACAGAGTAAGGCAGATTCTGTTCCTACATGGTCTTTCCCCTGGCATCCAGAAAGAGGATGCTGGCCTGGACAAACCATTGGTCTGACCCAGTACAGCAGTTCTGATTTTAAATTCTCAACCTGATTTTTAGACCTGAATGTAGTAGGTGGGTTCTCTACAGGGCCTGTAGTTAGCTAAACTACAAATTCAGCTATGTTGTAGCCAGTGTTGTAAAGGGCTTCAGCTCTAATCTCGGCTCTGAAATTTCCAGTCCAAAGAAATCTGACCAGGAAAACAAGGCTGCAGTTGACAGGGTTTCAGACAAACATAGGTTGCCTTCCTACCCCTTCAGGCCCTTCTCTAGGTTATGGAAGTCCAAGGGATTTCTCCAGCTGCAAAGAGGCAGTAAAGAGACAGATGAAATTCAGAGGTGTATGTTGGATGTGGAAAAAGTAAACGATACAAAGTGTCACTTTCTGTTCTTGAGCTTTGAAAGGTGCTTCCTTCTCAGGCAGATTTGTGGGCTCTCTGGAGTGGGCTGCACACTTCTCCACTGACAGCACCTTCTTACTGTGCCTCCCTCCCTGCACATCCCTAATCATCCAGTACCGCAAATACTCAGTCCAATACCCTCTGCCAGGGAAATGAAATCTGCTTCTGCATTCACTTCCAGAAAGTAGAAGACCAGAACTAAATAAAAGTATTTGCAGGCCTATGTATTTTGTTCATCATGCTCATCTAGACAAATTAGCTTAGATGCAGGCCAGATAACATCCCACTTTGTTGTAGTCAGTCTCATTCCCCTAAATACTGCAGCTTATTCCATAAATGATTATTGCAGAAAAGTCAGGAAAGTCGCAAACTCTCTATAGCTTCTAGAAGAGCCCCTACTTTTCAGCCATAACCTCAGCTCTGTCAAATCAGACATCAAGAATGTCAAGCACTCCCTTTGCTTGCAAATGGAACAAAATGTTTGGGGAGATGGCTTTTAAACTAAACCCAGATCAGCCTAGGAAAAAGCTGTGTCTTCAGTCCTGGGATGTGAAGGAAAGGTCAAACTTTAGGAGAATCAAAAAACTTGTTTAAAGAGTGAGATTAGGAAAGATGTTTTTGAGGATTGTGGTACACCAGGGCCACAGGTACCAGAGGCTCAGAACAGGAGCTCTCCATATGTGGTTAAATCTCAGGTCATTGCTTTAAGGACTTTGTTGAGAAATGACAATGAGTGGCAGCAAAATAAATGGAGTTGGGGAAGCATCAGGTGTTCAGAATGAAAGCCAAGGAACGAGCAGGTGATGGAATGGATTAGCTGGAGTAGAATTGGAGACATTGCTGATGGATCTTGCAAGGAAGAGTGGTGGCATATCTTGTACTGAGCACATGCAGGAACAGAGTTCATATGGGAAGATGTTTGTGATAGCTTGAAAGAAGAGCAATGAGCAAAGATAAATAATGCTGATACATGAAGGAGAAATAGTTTGAAGGTCATTTAATTAGTTTAACAGCTAGCACCATCGTGTATAGAACTGGGTAGTTAAGACTGGGGATTTCAAGGTTAATGAGATTAGATTATGGTTAATAGAATGATATAAATTTAGAGAATTTAACTATTATTTGAAATGAGTTATTTAATAAAATGTTAATTAAGGGGGGAATCCATATAGTCATCTTCTCTTTTAAAATTAACCATTAGGGACTCTGGAAAAGAGGCCTAGCAGTGTCCTGAGCAGGCTCAGAAGAGAGGTGACTGGGTTAACTGGAAACTCCATGTAGTGTCTCTGGATGCCAGCTGGCAGCCCCTGTTATGCCAGCTGAAGACTTCATTACCTCCTGACTGGAACTGTGGGCAGCATTTGTCTTGTTAATCAGACTTCATGGTGCCATCGAGGCTTTTTCAAGCAAAATGTCTTCTTAGGTCTGTTCTTACCCTCAGCCCCAGTTAAAAAGCAGGAAAGCCTTTTCTCCTTGCCACAGCCATCTGGGCTCTTCTTCTGGAATGGGGTACTGACCAGCCTACACTGAGACCTCAGCAAATGAGGGAGGTGATTACTAATGACAGCAGAGGAACATAAGGGAACTATTGCCTCACAGTGACTCTGGTGCCATGTAGGCTCTCTTGGGGTATTTGTGACCAGGTCTCAAATTGTAGCCCTTGGTGTGCAAAAGCTGTGTACATTCCACCCTGGCCAGCCAGGGTTGGTGTGAAAGCAAACAGAACCCTTCTGCTTTCCTGCCTCCTCTCTTGCTGAGGTGTTATTTAGGGGCCAGGGTGTGATATTAAATATGACTCAAGGCTTGGGACTGATGTGTGCTCTGTAGCTTGTTTCTTGTCTGAAGCAAGATTCTCCAATCAAGGCAGCCGGAGTTCAGCCTGCCCTGAGGAACTGTCCTCCAGAATGATGATGCAGTGTATTGTGTCCAGAGTCTCCCAAACATAATGACCCTCTGGAGACCATTAAAAGGCAGTGAAACTGAGAGTAGCCACTAAACTTTTCCAATTTATGCCAGAGCCCATCTGGCCCAAAGGATTGTGGGGAAGGCTGAGCCTCTCTCTCTTCCCTGGCTGTTTCAACCTAGTTGAGAATGAAGCCCAAGACCTAAGTTATGTCTGTGCTGCAATTCAACACTTTCATAAGGGCAAGATTCAGAGCAAGACCATCCCTGGTGGATACCACATACCAATGAGGTATCTGCAGAGCTTAGGTTTATAGTCTTAGCAAGGAAAGGCTGGATGGGGATCTCCCACATCTTAACAAGGTTCTGGAGGTATTTGTAAATATGATTTAAAACCAGTTTTGATGACTGCAGCTCTCCTGGAGCAGGCAGAGCCTGTGAATGTTGAGGAAAAGCAACCACGTTTCCAGATTACAAGGCAGTGTCTTCTGATTTTTAAGTAGGGTAAGGAGAGAGTCTACAGGGATACAAGGTCTCAGAGGACAAGAAAATAAGCTTTCACCCAGGCAAAGCCCAATGGATAATGTACTGGCAGGAGCCTGTAAGAGCCAGCCTGTATGATCACTAGAGGTGCAAGGAAATGACAGATAATGAAGGCACAGTCCTGGCTGTGCAGAGGGAGAAGAAAGTGACAGTTAAAATAACGCATACCAAAAATGCTAGAGATTGAGAATTTTGCACTTGCCTGACCCAATTTGTTATGGCAGACAGAGGATTACATGAAAGGATTAAGCTTTTCTGTCCTTAAGGTCACATTAGGGGTCACAAGTTTGTGGCCTTGCCTGATCCCGGGCTTGCAGGGGAGCAGAAATCACGAGGCTTTTTATGGGGTGGAAGGGACTTGTTCGCTGTGTTTGAAGTCAGATTACTCCACTCCCATAGCCACAAAGCTGATAATGCAGAGAATAAGCAAGCAGTGGGCTAATCTTAAGCAGGACTTTTTATTTCTCCCAGGGAAGGCTCTACCAGTACTTTCCCAAAGGGCCTTGGAGTACAACTCCCTTGGCACAATAGCAGATGGGACTGCAACAAGGCGGGGTTGTGTGAGCAGCATTTCTCTGCAAGGAGTGTTATCCTCTTCCCTGGGGTTCTCTCTCTTTGCTTTGGTAAAGTTTACTAGCTGCTTGTTAAGGAGCTAAGAGAGGCAAAGCTGAAAGATCTGAAATCTTTCCCTGGCTAAGTTTTCCCAGGGTTGACTTGAGGCTGGAATACTAATATTGTATCCGCCTCAGTCCTCAGAGTACCTGCCAATGTTTCTGTGTCTCAACAAAGCAGCACAAGGACATCTATCAAGATCTAAATGTTACTGTAGGGATTATACTTTCTTCACAGAACCATCTTTTAAACATGCAGATATAGGGACAGAGTGTGCAGGGACAAAGGATGACAACAGTTGACTCCTTGAGGACTTGACTCTTTCAAGCACTGTTTCCTGCTTCCCATGTGCCTTTCCCATAGCAGCTCTTTGTGTTTGTAGCAGCTTCCCTGGATTTCTTTATCTCACCAATGCTCTGTCCTGCTTCACACCATAGGTAGAAAAACTGCAAATGTACCTTTTAGGTTTTTTTGCTTTCCATTGCATTTGGTATTCTCCAAAGCATCTGGGGACACTGCAGAACAACACCTCCCCTCAAAAAAAAAGTTGCACCAGAAGCTGCAGACGTAGCTGAGGAAGGCATCTCACATACACCTTTCTGATACAGCTGAACATGTTAATTTTCCCTTTATCACTGTCAGGCAGGGGGATATTTACAATTAAATGTGATTTTTCCTGTCAATTAACTCATGCCAGAAGAGAGTTTTTAAAATCTATTTCTGCTTTAAAAGTTTGGTGACCTACTTACGTATTTCAAGCGTGTTTGGAGTTCACCTTTCCTCTTGCATTTTGCTATGTCATTCTCTTGCCCTCGTTAAATGCTTCATGCAGCCAGGCTCCCAGCCATGGTAAATCCCATCATAAACTCTGCTTTATGACCCTCGCTGCGCTGGTGCTGCAGTGGTCTGCCTTTCTCCTTGCCCAGCTCCCCAGTGGCAGCAGGCAGTGTTTTAATCACTGTGAATTCAGGTTGTGGTCAGATTAGGTAGAAGATAGGATGCGTGTTTGTTGTTTTGCAGTGATGTATTGTTTCTGGGATTACTGTGCTGAATAGCAGAGGGTGTCAGCTGATATTTATTACTTTAAGCTGTCTCAGCTGTTCTGGTTCAGCAAATAAACCTACATTCAAAATGAATGAGGAGCTCTGCTTGCCTTGTATGCCATGATGTGTGCAAATGTGATTATTGCTTCCAAGGCAGGGGAAGCTGAAATCATTGTGGGAGCATTTTTAGTTATTTATTTATTTTTACTCTTTGCAGGCAATCATGCAGATTTCTAAAGCACACAATCAAGTCAAAGGCTTGACACCTCTCCTTCCAGCCCCATTGTTAAGCCCTGGCATTCCTCATGCAGGGAATCACTCGCTCCCTCTCTCTCTAAAGTGATAAGCTTTAAACCATGCTATTGATTGCTTAAGGCATTACATGTTTTACACCTAGGTTATCAGTGTTATTGAAAGGGGAAGACACAAAGCTACCGGGCCTTAAAATGAATCTACCTCTCATCTTTTCCCATTTGCTCAGAGGATTTCAGACAATTTGTTTTACACTGATCTCTGCTGGGGAGATAAATAAATGAAACTGGAGACACCAACCCTCCCCAAGGTTAGAGTTAGAAGTGTTATTAGTGTAGGGCCTCATGTGCACCCCAGCACAAACTGGGCTCACTTATTCTTTATTTAACACAGCAACAAGGGCTGATTTCAAAAGTTGCTGCTCCCCTTCAGATAAGAAGTGTCACATAGCGCAGTTATCAAGGTGAATTGGTATTTTCAAGTGAGAACCTCTCTGCTTCTGATTAAGCCCTGAGGACTCCCTCTCTTCTCTCTTAACTCTTTAGCTCCCCTCTGACATGGCCACCACCTTTGTGGCTGAGGGACAGCATAGAAGCACAGCAGTGAGTGTCAGCTCACCCAAAGGGCCTGCTGTACTCTGCCTTGGGCTGCCTGTCCTTGGAGAAGCCGAGGTCCTTGGCAGCCTTTTGGCAGTCAGGGAACAAGGGAATAGGAAATCAGCAACACTGCTACCGTAGGGCTACCAGTGATGTTTGCCCAAAAGCTCTGACCTTTCTTAGGGTCTAACTAAGGTTGTTGTGGTAATGATAGAAAAATGACCACTGAACATAATACAGTGAAATCCCTCCACTCTGAACTCTGAGGTGATTCTTGCCTGACTTCCACACAAAGATGTGCTGCTCCTCTCTCATCCCCAAAACCCTACCTTTTGCCTTCAGCCTCCCTATCTGCAGAGATACCTTGTAGACAGGACAGAGGTAAGGGATTTGATGGCACAAAAATATGAGGAGACTGTGCATCTTTCACTCCATTGGGCACGTCTCCTAACAGATAAGTGACAGGAGCAGATGAAGCTTTGGCTTTCAATAGCATATCCCATTCTGGGATCTCAGCAATAAACTCACAAATCGGGTATTCACAGCACAACTGTTGCCATCCTGCTTGCACTGGCCAGAGAGGTCACCCACACATTTTTACAGAGATACCTTAAGGAGTATATCAGCCTCTTAAAACAGGACCACATAGCTTCTCACTGAACCCCTGTGGGATCACTGAGGGCCCATTTTCTGTGGGGGCCCTGAGGAACAGGGAGCAGGGTCCAGGTCTGGTTGTTGCAGTGACTTTCATGGATCTGGATTTCAAGGCTTGCAGATGAACAGAGAATTAGACTTGTTTTCTTAACAGGGGGCTGACTGTACAACAAGCAGTCTCCTAAAATCCAGTCTCAAAGATAAGATGACTTTGTCCAAGATTACACAAATCATCTGTAGCCAAACCTGGAACAGGGCCTTCATCTGCTACTGACGTACCTTGACTGCAAAGTGATCCTTCCTCGTAGGACCTACACGTAGTGATGTGATGAGATGATGGTACTTTTTTATGGTCAGATGAAAGATTTAATAACCTCTGTGTGACAACATCTACCAAGCAAGGAAGCACTTATTTTTTTTAACCCACAGTGGTTTTGGGGACAGAAGGGCAGGCAGGGGGTCAGTGAGGAGGCAGAACATGATGCTTGCAGAATGGTGGAGGGGTGGGCTTGGGGGATTCCTCCTCCTGTCGCTTGACTAATGTTACCTTTCTCTGTCTGAAGGACGGCATGAACTGGGTGTGCAAAAATGTCAGTACTAAGAAGAAGTAAAGCGTTCTGAGCTGCATGGAAATGGAGGAGCGGTGGAAGCAGAATTCTAGCCTGAAAACACTAATTTGCTGCTTTCTGACCAAATGTTTTTCCATCTGTGCACAGCTACAGCTGTTAAAAGAAAAAAAAAAAGAGAGAAAAAAGGGAGCAACATTGGTTTAAACCTACTGCTGGATTTGGAACTTGACCTGCTCTTTAGTATAATTTTTTTTATCCCAATAAAGGAATTACATATTTCTTCCCTATGCATAAGTAGTATTAAATGTCTGATTAGCAAGCAAGTTTGTAAGCAGAAGCAGGACTGATTCAGTGTGGAGCAGAGGGAGTGGTGAGTTACTGTAGTGGCTTAGATGCATAGGAGCTGCCCTAATAGGCGCGGTTGCTGAGGACACGCTCGGCATCAGTCACAGCTTCCCCTCAGTGACAGATAAAATGCAGTTGTGTTACCAATTGTGGGTAGTTTCTTAAAATAAAGCTGCTAAGGAGTCATTTGTGTAAAAAGGGTAGAAGACTTCCACATATTCCTATAGCCATAAAAGAGGAGTTTGATGATAACGAGGCACTGTTGCATTGCGACACCGCTGTAGAAGGGAGAGAAGGGTTATATGTGTATAATTGAAGCTCTTTGCAGTTGGAATAATGCAGGATGAGCGTGCCTAGGGCTTTTCTCGCAGCTGAAGGAGAATTTAGCCCAGCATTTCACCTTGAGCCAGCAAAAATGTTGTTCCTCCGTTCAATAAGTTCCATATGTGAGATTAGTCTTGATGTTGAACAATCCCTGTTGATTTTCCCTTGATGTTAAGGCAACTCTGCAGGAAAATGCAATTAAGTCCATGATTACTTTCTAGAATGAGATATCAGGTCCCAGGTTTCCTTCTTTGAAATGTGCAAAATGTGTTCTCCTACCCCACCAGCTAAGCATGCCTTGCCTGGTTCTTCTGGGGACTTGAGGGACTGCCCCATAGCAGGCTGGCTGTCCAGTGCCTGAGGTCCCCCAGCCTGGTGCTGGCTGTGGATTGCCCCGGTGGAGAGTGAGGATCCTGGTGAACAGCAGATGGGAAGTGCTCTGTAAAACGAGCATTCATTCTTCCCCGGGCCGGCTTCCCTTTAAAAGGACACAGTTGCTGAAATGGGAAAGAGAATGTGATTTCCACCTCCTCCTCCCCAATTCAAATCTAGCCCCAGACTGACAGGGGAACGGGAACGATTAGCACGCCAAAGTAGCCATGTCCTGCATGAAGCGAGCTTGGTGACTCCTGGGCCAGTTTCTAATGCACAGATGGTAGAATAATCCCACTGCCCTGCTTGCCAGCTTTGTTTGCTGCCTGCCTGCAAAAGGCCAGAGAATGACTGGGGACTGCATTACCCCTTCCACCTCCTGGAGACGGACGGTGGTGCAGGATGGGAAAGCTGCATGTACTAAAGCATGTGGCTTTACCACGCGTCAGCGAGTTGACTCATGGACCCAGGCAGACGGCTGACACCCCTGGAGCTCCCAGCTCTTTTTTCCTCCCTTCCCCGGACATCTCCACCTCACGGCACAAACATCTGCACTGTACGTGAAGCAGCCCCTGGCTGTCTGCGTGTTACAGCTTGGCATATTAAAATCATCTGGGGCTCATTCCAGGTCCCCCCATACATCAGGATGTACAGTAGCAGTTCAGGGATGATCCGTGTGTAGTTCAGCTGTCTTTGCTGTGGCTGGGGGCACAGGGACAGCTGGGACAGCAACTGCTTTAGCAATCCAACTTTAATCTGCCTGTGTCCGTGAGTCAGCACCCTCCGAGTGCATCTGTCTCCAGCAGGGAGGCAGGACACGCATGCCGGAGTAGCAGAGCCTTGCTTTAAAAACCAGACGACTGGGGAGCGGGGTGGGGGGGAAGAGCGGGCTCAAGTGAGCTGTTAAGCAATCGCTAATGACAAAGTGACACAGCTCTGGCTTTGCATGGATTGAGTAAGGAGTCATAAGATGAGATGTTCATTTAAATGCAGCTTGCTCGGTAACTCCCCAGCTGCGCAGGCTTATCGGAACGCTGCAAATTTGAGTATGGCATGTTCCTAGGTCAGTCCAAGGAGGAGAAATTCATCCCAGCATCACCTTTTCCTTGCAAATAATGCATTTGCCTGATGCAAGCAATGTAAAGAATTACAACCCTTTCCTGTGGGCAGGCTTGTGCTGGCCGAGTGGCAGAGCTTTGTGATAGATAGTCCCCAAGCATTGGATTTGCCCACATTGCTTACCAGATGCAGAGGAAAGTGGTCGGGTATCTCTCCTCTGGCCCAGGCAGGGCAGGGCAGAGCACCTTTTGGAGCTCAGGCATTGATCTTTCACACTTGCAGAGGATTTGAGTTGGTGCTTTCCTGCTCCCTACTCTTCTAGCAGTGGCAGACTTAGTCTGTGACACCCCACCAGTGCCACAGTTGGCTTCCTGGGGCTGAAAAGGATCCAGGAGGGTAATGTGGTTTTTTAAAGTCTCATATTGGTTAAACTTGGAAATATGTGTAAAATAAATATGTAGTAATTTTCCTATAGCTTTAGTTGGGAAGGAAAAATTGCCTTATTGAACTCAGGATCCAGAAACTTTTGCTGGCTCATTCATTATGTTTACTTGTAGCTACACGTATTGGTTGCTTGCATCTGTACCTGCCAGAGTGTCACCTGTAACCCAGTAGTTAATTTGGTTTTCCCATGCCAGGTGGTAAGAGAGGAAGACCATGATAGAGTGAGCTGTGCTTGGAGGATGGAAGTGGGGGGTTAAAATGACCATGTCTTAAGTATATCATCCTAGTGATGGCTGTAAATGTTCATTGTATTGTAAACGTTTCTCTGTGCAACCTGGTGAAAATGTATGAGAATTTGAGGTTCTTTTCACTTGCTGCTCATTATCTGAATGTATTTACATCTGCTATGGCCTCTGCAGGGCTCTCTGCCCTGGGCAGCACCTGGCTGAAAACCACCTGGACAACTGTCTGGGGCCAGCCAGAAACACCTGCCAGCGATCAATGCTGCCCCTCTGCCAGCCCTTCAGCCCCGCCCTGGGTTGTGGCACACGCAGGGCTCCGTCCTTCCAGCGCTGTCAGCTTTGCCCTCCTTTAAACTGAGGCTGGGGGAATCAGGCGGCTCGTTGGTATGGGCGGAGCTCTGCCACACGTCGCACCAATTCCTGGATTTTTAAGCCAGGAGGGACCGTTGTGTTCCTGTTTCCTGACCTCCCGAGTAACACAGCCCGTGAAACCTCACCCCGCCGTGGTGACTCACGGCTGAGCCAGAGCCCCTGTGGTAGGAAGAAACCCAGCCATGATTTAAAGGCTCCGAGTGACAGGCAGACCTCGGGATGTTTGTCACAGGGGTTAATTCCCTTCCCGTGCTTCACTTTCACGTCATTAAATCTGGTTCTACCTTTGCGATAGATGAAAGAAGCCTCTCCTGCTCCTGCCCCATTCGTTCCCTGGAGGGGAGAGGTGCTGGAGAAGTGAAATTCTCCAAGGGCGTGTCAGAAAACCTGAGTCCAAGCCCCTGCTCTATGTGAGTGGGGTGTGGGGACTCATCCTCTCCCAAGCTGTGGCTGTGTCCTCCCCTGCAGCTTCGCTGGAGAATGTCTCTCCTGCCCTGGGAGAATGCTTGCCAAAGCCTCTTGCAACCTTCTCCCATTTTCCCACTACCTATGATGTTTCTTGCACATTAATGACTTCTCTCTCTGTCAAAACTATAACTGGTCACCAGACTCTTTTTATGAAGTGTACTGGGATGAGACCAGCCCACTCCAACATGCTCACTCTCCTCCAAAAGCAAAAGATGGCGGCTGTTGCATTCCCTGGGCCGGCCAGGTCCACGCAAGCTCTTTCTTTTATGTTCCCTTTTTGTATTTCACCAAAAAGGGATATTTGCAATATCTGGTCATGTTGTTACTCAGTGTATAATTTAGATGTCTTTGTCAAAAAAAAAAAAAAGGAAATAAATTAAAATTTAGTAGAAAGACAACTGGTGTTTGGGGGTGGTCCTTTTTTCTTCAGCAGGTTCATTTTCTGCTAGGATTGTCTCTTCCCAAGGAGCTTCCAGTCAGGTCACAAGGCTGCTCTTCTGTTGGTCCTGTCACCCCACCAGAAATGGTTGCTGGTACTAGAAGTGATCAAAACTGTTGAAGAAGCCTTTTTCCTTTGGATTTTCAGTATTCCAAAACTATCAGAGAAGTCAGCCAGAGAGAAAGGGAAATTCTGGGAGGATCTTCTTTTTTCAAAAATCATGTTGCAGGTTTAAAAAAGCATGTCATGAAACACGTTCTCTAGTGACCTGGCAGGAAAAGGGAAGGGGAAAAAGAAAAGCAGCAAACTATTTGGGTTTGGTTCAGTGAAATGAGGTTGGGAGGGGGTTAGGAGGGAGGGAAGCAAATCTGTTGCTTTCCAGCTAATCTGACTCATTACTGTTTCTGCAACACCCAGAGGAGCCAAAAAGCAAGGAACTGTTAGAACTCTTTAAAGCATCAGGTCCCTCCCTGCACAGTCACAGTCAGGATGCCTGGAAGTCTGTCAGAGCCACTGGAAAAAAAACATTATAGATGGTCACACTTAACTTCTTTTCTCTTTTTTTTTAAGGCACGCTTTATACTCAGTCCTCGTATTTTTTCAGCGAAGTAGGAAATACTTTTTCATCTTGTTTGCCTAATGGATTGGATGTGAAAAATATTTCTCTGGCAAGTGAACACCCTGAGAGTTGTTTGACTTGTCACAGCATTATGTATCAGCCCCTGCGGCCCCCGGCCCCCGAATGGGCTGTGCTTCCCCTCTCCTGCTGCTGTTTGGGGTGGGATGTGGTAATTTATGGGGAGGCTGC